GCTCTTAGGTTGGAGGCCATTGCTCTTAGGTTGGAGGCCATTGCTCTGAGGTTGGAGGCCATTGCTCTTAGTATTGGAGGCCATTGCTCTTATGTTGTATCCACCTCGCTCGTTGCCAAAAGACCTTCGCCCTGACAGTCGACCCCTCCCAGGCCATGTGAGGCGGGGTCTTTCTGGCAAAGCTTCATCCAGAAGGTCTTGCTTTCGTGAGGAGTGACCTTGGAAACAACACAATCACGCCCTCCCCCCACGTGTAGCAGCAATAAATATAACGAATTGAATCATGCAATAATCATGGCCTCCATCACGACGCAAAAGTCATCAATCGTGGAAATTGGAGTGTTTGGCAGCGAAACTACTGAAACTACATCTCCCCTCAGCTGGTGTTTTTCGACCAAAGCACCTTAAATCAGCTTAAACAACCTTGGCATCTCTGGGATGGTCCAACCCAAACCCGTTGACCTCACCTTGACTGCTCCGTGCGAGACCTCACCTTGGTCCAGAAGATGATGCCCGGGACGACGCACAAAGGCCCGATGAAGGCACCAATCTGCACGAAAGCTAACATGGTCCACCTCAGGTCCCGATTCCAAGGTCACGGTCATCCAGGATTCATCGATGAAGGCTGAAGGGTCAGTTCTTTTGAAGAAGATATATATATATATATATTGTAGATTGCCCACACTGGTGCTTCACCCCCACTTCACCAAACTCTTCACCGAGCGCGCCCCGCGCGCTGCTTTTCCTGCACCCTCCGTAGTCGTCCTATGGCTCTGGTCGTCCACGACCAACAAAAGGATCGTCCTCGACCCACCACATATAAGCCCTCCGGTGAGCCTTCCTCGATGCGGCAAAGGCAGCGGCATTCAAGGGATGAATGCACTCCACAAGCACCTGTCTGCAGGTGAACAAGGTTTCACGAGAAATCACGCTCCTAAAAAACTCCTTGTTCTTTAAACACTAGAAGATGAACAAACTTTGGGACGTCTGTCGCATCCAGCATGCATATGGTGCACGATTAGGCCATCAACACAACAACCTCCTTTTGAAGAGTTGTACCCCATATAATCAGGTGATTATTTCCCCTTGGCACTCTGCACACACATGGGCATCCGACGTACCGGCATTCTGCATCCAAGTCTGTCTCAGGCGTCCGTCCGACCTTTGTTTCAAGATCTCATCAAGATCTTTGAGCAGGCATCTTCCATTTGTTAGAAATGTCCGAAGGATGCTAGTATCCATTAATCTTTAGTCAGTGAGTCGGCCATCTGTGCGGCACTATGCACCCATTTATATAATTGTAATTAAGACCCCTTCCTTTAGTCGATCTTTGACCACCAGTGCTTCGAGCAAGGTGCGGTATCGATTTATGTCATTCTCAGATGCTGCGTTCGCCTCCCGAGAGCGAGCTCATTCCCAGAGAGGAACTTTCATCCTGGCAACGACCTCAACCATTGACGATAGCAAAGGGTCCAAGGTTAGCCCCCTGGTCTGGCGCTTCAAGAGAATCGCTAGGGTTGTTTCGAGCACTCTTGCCTCAGAAACATATGCGTTGTCGGGAGCCCTAGATCAACTGAGTTGGGTCCGGTTGCACTGGCAATGGATGAGAGATCCGACCACTGCATGGAACAAACCTGATGAAACCCTCACCAAGATTACTCTGGCGTATGCAGTAGTAGACTGTAAGAGCCTGTACGACCTTCAGAAAACCACCATACCCCGGGGAATGGATTGGATCCGGATTTCAACATCAGCATGTTTTTTGGAGTCTTCCAGAAGCAGGTTGGCTGTCAAGAGATCACCTGTCGTGGCATTCGGAATTTTGGCCTGCAACAAACTGATGAGTCTGCAAGAAAGGTCCGGCCGTGTGTTGGATGCCGAGGATTGTTCGCGTACTCCCGAACAGAAAACGTTTCTCAAGCTGGTCTATTGCTTGGGCA